AAGGGTTTTTTTGGGGGGGTTGATGAGTCATTTACGCAAAGAAGATGCTAATTAGGAAGAGGTATTTTGAAAAGTTAATGAACCTATGCAAATGAGATGGTAATGAGGAGTGTTTGATGGGGTTTTGGGGGTGAATTGGGGGGATTTTGAGGGTGGAAAAGGGGATTTAAGAGAGAATTCGGTGGGGTTGATGAGCAATTTACGCAAACGAGACGCTAATTAAGAAGAGGAAATTTTTGAATATTAATGAATCTATGCAAATGACCCCCCTGGGCAGGAGGAGGAGGCGCTGCTGTCGGAGATGGACGTGGTCCCTCCCACCTACTCATTACCATCTCATTTGCATAAATGAACCACCCCAAACCCTCCCCAAGGCCACTCCCAACCCTTCATTACCACATTTGCATCAATCTAATTTGCATAAATCACCCAGAACCCTCCCCCAGATCCCCTCCCACCCCCTAATTACATCTCATTTGCATAAATCAATCACACCCCCTGAAGACTCCGAATGCCCCCAGGATCCTCTCCCAGACCTGTCCCACCCCCTCATTACGTCATTTGAGGGGGGATGGGAGTGATTTATCCAAACGCGACGCTAATTAGAAAGAGGAATTTTTGAATATTAACGAATCTATGCAAATTCCCCCCCCTGTGCAGGAGGAGGAGGCGCTGCTGTCGGAGATGGACGTGACCCCTCCCACCTCCTCATTACCATCTCATTTGCATATATTGATCACACCCCCTTAACCCTCCCCAAGGCTCCCTCCCACTCTCTCATTACCATCTCATTTGCATAAAGTCAGACACTTCCCTCTTGGTTTTGTCCATCTCATTTGTCTAAATCCATCTCATTTGCATAAATCCATCTCATTTGCATAAATCCATCTCATTTGCATAAATCAATCACCCCAAATCCCCCAATGCCCCTCCCACCCTCTCATTACCACCTCATTTGCATAAATCAATCACCCCCAGCAGCCATCTTGTCCCATTCATGACTCCACCCCCTCCCGGCGGCCATCTTGTGACCCCCCATCCTGCCCGGGAGGAGGAGGCTAATTTACGCAAATGAGATGCTAATTAGGAAGAGCAATTTTTGAAATGTTAATGAATTTATGCAAATGAGGGGAGTGGGAGGGAGTTTGAGGGGGTTTGAGGGGGTTTTTGTGGTGAATTGGGGGGGTTTTGGGGGTGGAAAAGGAGATTAAAGAGGGTTTTTGGGGGGATTGATGAGCGATTTACGCAAATGCGATGCTAATTAGGATGAGGCATTTTGGAAGGTTAATGAATGTATGCAAATGAGATGGTAATGAGGGGAGTGGGAGGGGTTTTGAGGGGGTTTTGGGGGTGAATTGAGGGGGTTTTGGGGGGGGATTTTAGGGGTGGAAAAGGGGATTTAAGAGACTTTAGAGGGGAGAGTTCAGGGGGGATGATTGATGCAAATGAGATGCTAATTAGGAAGAGGAATTTTGGAAGGTTAATGAGTCTATGCAAATGAGATGGTAATGAGGGGAGTGGGAGGGATTTGAGGGGGATTTTGGGGGAATAAAGGGGATTAAAGACGGTTTTTTGGGGGGGTTGATGAGTCATTTACGCAAACGACATAGTTAATTAAGAAGAGGAAATTTTGAAAAGCTAATGAATTTATGCAAATTCCCCCCCCCGTGCAGGAGGAGGAGGCGCTGCTGTCGGAGATGGACGTGACGGGGCAGGCGTTCGAGGACATGCAGGAGCAGAACCTGCGGCTGCTGCAGCAGCTGCGCGAGAAGGACGACGCCAACTTCAAGCTGATGTCGGAGCGCATCAAGGCCAACCAGATCCACAAACTGCTCCGCGAGGAGAAGGACGAGCTGGCCGAGCAGGTGCTCGCACTCAAGGCACAGGTCAGGCGGTAAATTAATTATTAAATTAATAGAAAGTGTTGGCATCAAGGCCAACCAGATCCACAAACTGCTCCGGGAGGAGAAGGACGAGCTGGCCGAGCAGGTGCTCGCGCTCAAGGCACAGGTCAGAGCCTAATTAAATAATTATGTCAAATTAGAGGGGGTTAGGAAGGGTTTAGAGGGCGTAAATTGGTGTTTAATAGGAGTTAATGGTGGATTAATAGCTCCTAATAATCATTTAATAGAGGTTAATGGTGGTTAATAGCTATTAATAGTGGATTAATAGTTGTTAATAATCATTTAATAGGGATTAATGATGGATTAATAGCTATTAATGGTCGTTTAATAGGGATTAATAATGGATTAATAGCTGATTAATAGCTGTTAATGATCGTTTAATAGGGATTAATGATGGATTAATAGCTATTAATAATAGGGATTAATGATGGATTACTAGCTAATAATAATCATTTAATAGCGATTAATGATGAATTAATAGCTATTAATGATCATTTAATAGGGATTAATAATGGATCAATGTCCATTAATAGTGATTTATTAGGAGTAATGATGTATTAATAGATACGGTGGGTCAATAATAGCAGGTTAGTGGTCATTAATAGGCAATTAATAGAAAGTGTTGGCATCAAGGCCAACCAGATCCACAAACTGCTCCGGGAGGAGAAGGACGAGCTGGCCGAGCAGGTGCTCGCACTCAAGGCACAGGTCAGACCCTAATTAATTTATTAAATTAAATTACAGGGGGTTTGGGGTGGTTTAGAGGGCGTAAATGGGTGTTTAATAGGAGTTAATGGTCGATTAATAGCTATTAATAATCGTTTAATAGGGATTAATAATGGATTAGTAGCTCCTAATGATCATTTAATAGAGAGGAATGATGATTAATAGTTATTAATAGTGGATTAATAGCTATTAATAAGCATTTAATAGGGATTAATGATGGATTAATAGCCATTAATAACAATTTAATAGGGATTAATAATGGATTAAGAGTCACTAATAGTGATTTAATAGGGATTAATGATGGATTAATAGCCATTAATAGTGATTTAATAGGGATTAATGATGGATTAATAGCCATTAATAGTGATTTAATAGGGATTAATGATGGATTAATAGCCATTAATAATCGTTTAATAGGGATTAATGATGGATTAATAGCCATTAATAACCGTTTAATAGGGATTAATGACGGATTAATAGCCATTAATAATCATTTAATAGGGATTAATAATGGATTAATGGCCATTAATAGTGGTTTAATAGGAATTAATAATGGATTAATAGCTATTAATAATCGTTTAATAGGAATTGGTAATGGATTAATAGCTATTAATAACCATTTAATAGGGATTAATGATGGATTAATAGCCATTAATAACAATTTAATAGGGATTAATAATGGATTAAGAGTCACTAATAGTGATTTAATAGGAATTGGTGATGGATTAATAGCCATTAATAAACGTTTAATAGGGATTAATGACGGATTAATAGCCATTAATAGTGATTTAATAGGGATTAATGATGGATTAATAGCCATTAATAATCGTTTAATAGGGATTAATGATGGATTAATAGCCATTAATAACCGTTTAATAGGGATTAATGACGGATTAATAGCCATTAATAATCATTTAATAGGGATAATAATGGGTTAATAGTCATTAATAATTGTTTAATAGGAATTGGTGATGGATTAATAGCTATTAATAATCGTTTAATAGGAATTGGTAATGGATTAATAGCTATTGATAACCATTTAATAGGGATTAATGATGGATTAGTGGCCATTAATAGTGATTTAATAGGGATTAATGATGGATTAATAGCTCCTAATAATCACTTAATAGAGGTTAATAACAGTTAGTAGCTATTAATAGTGGATTAATAGCCATTAATAATCGTTTAATTGGGATTAGTGATGGATCAATGTCCATTAATAGTGATTTATTAGGAGTAATGATGTATTAATAGATATGGTGGGTTAATAATAGCAGGTTAGTGGTCATTAATAGGTGTTTCATAGAAATTATTAGTGGATTAATAGCTCCTAATAGTTGTTTAATAACTATCAATAATGGATTAATGGTCATTAGTAGTTACTTAATAGCCATTAATAATGGGTTTGTGGTCACCAATGTTTATTTTATAGGAATTAATGATGGATTAATAGCTCCTAATAATCATTTAATAGAGCAGAATGATGATTAATAGCTATTAATAGTGGAATAATAGCTGCTAATGATCGTTTAATAGGGATTGATAATGAATTAATGGCCACTAATAGTGATTTAATAGGGATTAATGATGGATTAATAGCCATTAATAATCACTTAATAGGAATTGGTGATGGATTAATAGTCATTAATAATCGTTTAATAGGGATTAATGATGGATTAATGGCCATTGATAATCATTTAATAGGAATTAATGTTGGTTTAACAATTGTGATAGAAATTTAATAGGATCTACTAATGAGTTAATAGTTCCTTATAATCGTTTAATAGCAATTAATGATAGATTAGTAGCTCCTAATAATCATTTAATAGACAGTAATGATGATTAATCGCTATTAATAGTGGATTAATAGCTGTTAATAATCATTTAATAGGAACTAATGGTGGATTAATGGCCATTAATAGTGATTTAATAGGAATTGGTGATGGATTAATAGCCATTAATAACCGTTTAATAGGGATTAATGACGGATTAATAGCCATTGATAACCATTTAATAGGAATTAATGATGAATTAATAGCTATTAATAACCATTTAATATGAACTAGTGGTGGATTAAGAACCATTGTAGAAATTTAATAGGATCTACTAATGGATTGATAGACACTTATAATTGTTTAATAGGGATTAATGATGGATTAATAGCTCCTAGTAATCATTTAATAGAGAGGAATGATGATTAATAACTATTAATAGTGGATTAATAGCTGCTAATGATCGTTTAATAGAGATTAATAATGGATTAATGGCCATTAATAGTGATTTAATAGGGATCAATGATGGATTAATAGCCATTAATGATCATTTAATAGAGAGTAATGGTGATTAATAGCTATTAATAGTGGATTAATAGCTGCTAATGATCGTTTATAGGGATTAATGATGGATTAATAGCCATTAATAATCGTTTAATAGGGATTAATGATGGATTAATAGCCATTGATAATCGTTTAATAGGGATTAATAACAGATTAGTGGCCATTAATAGTGATTTAATAGGAATTGGTGATGGATTAATAGCCATTCATAACCATTTAATAGGAACTAATGGTGGATTATTAATCGTGATAGAAATTTAATAGGATCTACTAATGGATTAATAGACATTTATAATTGTTTAATAAGAATTAATGATAGATTAATAGCTCCTAATAATCATTTAATAGACGTTAATGACGATTAATAGCTATTAATAGTGGATTAATAGCTGTTAATGGTCATTTAATAGGGATTAATGATGGATTAATAGCCATTAATAATCATTTAATAGCGATTGATGATGGATTAATAGCTATTAATAACCACTTAATAGGGATTAATAATAGATTAATGGCCATTAATAGTGATTTAATAGGAATTGGTGATGGATTAATAGCCATTAATAAACGTTTAATAGGAATTAATAATGGATTAATGGCCATTAATAATCACTTAATAGGGATTAATGATGAATTAATAGCTATTAATAACCATTTAATATGAACTAGTGGTGGATTAAGAACCATTGTAGAAATTTAATAGGATGTACTAATGGATTGATAGACACTTATAATTGTTTAATAGGGATTAATGATGGATTAATAGCTCCTAGTAATCATTTAATAGAGAGGAATGATGATTAATAGCTACTAATAGTGGATTAATAGCTGTTAATGATCATTTAATAGGGATTAATAATGGATTAATAGCCATTAGTAAACGTTTAATAGGGATTAATGATGCATTAATAGCTATTAATAACCATTTAATAGGGATTAATAATGGATTAATGGCCATTAATAGTGATTTAATACGGATTAATGATGGATTAATAGGTATTAATGATCGTTTAATAGGGATTAATGATGGATTAATAGCCATTAATAATCATTTAATAGGGATTAGTTATGGATTAATAGCTATTAATGATAATTTAATAGGGATTAATGATGGATTAATGGCCGTTAATAATCATTTAATAGGAATTGGTGATGGTTTAATAGCTATTAATAAGCATTTAATAGGAACTAATGGAGGATTAATAACCGTGATAGAAATTTAATAGGATCTACTAATGGAGTAATAGTTCCTTATAATCGTTTAATAGGGATTAATGATGGATTAATAGCTCCTAATAATCCTTTAATACAGCTTAATAAGGGTTAGTAGCTATTAATAGTGGATTAATAGCCATTAATAATCGTTTAATAGGGATTAATAATGGATCAATGCCCATTAATAGTGATTTATTAGGAGTAATGATGTATTAATAGATATGGTGGGTTAATAATAGCAGGTTAGTGGTCATTAATAGGTGTTTCATAGAAATTATTAGTGGACTAATAGCTATTAATAGTTGTTTAATAACTGTCAATAATGGATGAATGGTCATTATTAGTCATTTAATAGCCATTAATAATGGGTTAATGGTCACTAATAATTATTTAATAGGAATTAATGATGGATTAATAGCCATTGTAGGTGTGAATAGTTGATTAATAACTGTTAGTAGTCACTTAATAGGAGTTAATAATGTGTTAATAGTCATGAATGGTTGATTAATAGCTATTAATAGTCGCTTAATAGGAGCTAATAATGTGTTAATAGTCGTGAATGGTTGATTAATAGCTGTTAATAGTTGCTTAATAGGAGATAATAATGAGTTAATAGTCATTAATAATTATTTAATAGAGATTAATGATGGATTAATAATTGTGATAGAAATTTAATAGGATCTACTAATGGATTAATAGACATTTATAATCATTTAATAGGAATTAATGATGGATTAATAGCACTTAATAGAGGTTAATGACAATTAATAGCTTTTAATAATTATTTAATAGAAATTAATGATTGCTTAATAACTATTAATAGTCATTTTGCAGGAATTAATAGTGGTTAATAGTCATTAATAATTGCTTAATAACTATTAGTAGTCATTTAGTAGGAATTAATAGTGGTTAATAGTCATTAATAATTGTTTAATAGGAATTGGTGATGGATTAATAGCCATTAATAATCATTTAATAGAAATTACTGATAGATTAATAGGTATTAATGATCACTTAATAGGGATTAATGATGTATTAATATACCTTAATAATCAGTAGATATTAATAATAGATTAATATCTCTTAATAGTAACTTAATAGGAATTAATAACAGATTAATTGCTGTTAATAATCACTTAATAGGAATTATTGATGGACTAATAGCATTTAATAATGATTTAATTGGGATTAATGATGGATTAATGGCTATTAATAATCCCCTAGTAGAAACAATTCCAAATAATGACGTAATACTGCTAATTAAGGGCTAATTAAGCTAATTAGGGCTAATTAACCCCCTGTGCAGGTGGAGGCGCAGCTGCAGGTGGTGCAGAAACTGCCAAAGTGTCCTAATTACCCCTAATAACTCCCTAATAACCACTAATAACTCCCTAATTTCCCCAAATAACACCGAAATAATGACTAATAAAACCCTAATTAAGCTAATTAGGGGTAATTAGCAACCTGTACAGGTGAAGGCACAGCTGCAGGTGGTTCAAAAGGTGCCAAAATCCCTTAATAATCCCTAATAACTCCCTAATAACTCCCTAATTTCTGCAAATAACACCAAAATAATGACTAATAACGGCTAATTAAGGGCTAATTAATGGCTAATTAATCTAATTGTCGCTAATTGTCAGGTGGAGGCGCAGCTGCAGGTGGTGCAGAAGCTCCAAAGTGACCTGATAACCCCTAATAACTCTGTAATAACCACTAATAAATTCACGATTTCTGCAAATAACGCTGAAATAACGGCTAATAACGCCTAATTAAGGACTAATTAAGGGCTAATTAATCTAATTGTCGCTAATTGTCAGGTGGAGGCGCAGCTGCAGGTGGTGCAGAAGCTGGAGGAGAAGGAGAGGGGGCTCCAAACTCCCCTAATTACCCCTAATAACTCCCTAATTTCTCCAAATAACACCGAAATAACGGCTAATTAATGGCTAATTAATCTAATTGGCGTTAATTGTCAGGTGGAGGCGCAGCTGCAGGTGGTGCAGAAGCTGGAGGAGAAGGAGAGGGGGCTCCAAAATCCCCTAATTACCCCTAATAACTCCCTAATAACCACTAATAATGCCAAAATAACGCCTAATAACACCTAATTAAGGGCTAATTAATGGCTAATTAATCTAATTGTCGCTAATTGTCAGGTGGAGGCGCAGCTGCAGGTGGTGCAGAAGCTCCAAAGTGATTTAATAACCCCTAATAACTCCCTAATTACCGCTAATAACTCCCTAGTTTCTCCAAATAACACCAAAGTAACGACTAATAACGCCTAATTAAGGGCTAATTAGGCTAATTAGGGCTAATTACCAACCCATGAAGGTGGAGGCGCAGCTGCAGGGGGTGCAGAAGCTGCCAAAGTGTCGTAATTACCCCTAATAATTGTCTAATAAATTGATATTTTCAGCAAATAATGCCAAAATAACGCCTAATAACGGCTAATTAATGGCTAATTAATGGCTAATTAATCTAATTGCCGCTGATTGCCAGGTGGAGGCGCAGCTGCAGGTGGTGCAGAAGCTGGAGGAGAAGGAGAGGGGCCTGCAGAGCGCGCTGGGGGCGGTGGAGAAGGAGCTGGCCCTGAGGAGCCAGGCCCTGGAGCTGCACAAGAGGAAGGTGAGGGGGGCCCAGGGGGGCCCTCAGGTGTGCCCAGGGGTGCCCAGGGGTGTGTTTGGTGCCCCCAGGTGTGTGTTTGGTGCCCCCAGGTGTGTGTTTGGTGTCCAAGGTGTGTGTTTGGTGCCCCCAGCTGTCCCCAGGTGTGCCCAGGTGTGTGTAAATGATTCCAGGTGTGTATAAATGCCCCCAGGTGTGCCCAGGTGTGTGTAGATGCCCCCAGGTGTGTGTAGATGCCCCCAGGTGCCCCCAGGTGTGCCCAGGTGTGCCCTTTGTCCCCCCCAGGCAGTCGAGGCCGCCCAGCTGGCCGAGGATCTGCGTGCCCAGGGCGAGCACGTGCAGGGCTGGGTCCCAGGTGTGCCCAGGTGCCCCCAGGTGTGCCCAGGTGTGTGTTTGGTGTCCCCAGGTGTGCCCAGGTGTGTGTTTGGTGCCCCCAGGTGTGTTTGGTGCCCCCAGGTGTGTGTTTGGTGCCCCCAGGTGTGTGTTTGGTGTCCCCAGGTGTGCCCAGGTGTGTGTTTGGTGCCCCCAGGTGTGTGTTTGGTGCCCCCAGGTGTGTGTTTGGTGTCCCCAGGTGTGCCCAGGTGTGCCCAGGTGTGCCCAGGTGTGTGTTTGGTGCCCCCAGGTGTGTGTTTGGTGTGCCCAGGTGTGTCTCAAGCCCCAAATTCTTCCCCTAAACCCCCAAAGAACCCCCAAAATCCCCCAAATTGCCCCTCAAACATCCCCCAGGTGTGTGTAGATGCCCCCAGATGCCCCCAGGTGCCCCCAGGTGTGTGTTTGGTGCCCCCAGGTGTGTGTTGGGTGCCCCCAGGTGCCCCCAGGTGTGGTGCCAGGTGAGGTACCTGCTCCAGGGCCTCTGCCAGGTGCCTGTCGAGCCTCCCCTCCCTCTTCCTGAGCTTGGCACTGTCCCACTGCAGCCCCTCCAGGTGTGCCCAGGTGTGCCCAGGTGTGTGTTTGATGTCCCCAGGTGTGTGTTGGGTGCCCCCAGGTGTGTGTTTGGTGCCCCCAGGTGTGCCCAGGTGTGTGTTGGGTGCCCCCAGGTGCCCCCAGGTGTGTGTTTGGTGCCCCCAGGTGTGTGTTTGGTGTCTCACCTGTGCCCAGTACCTGTTGACCAGGTGCAGGGTGCCATGGTTGGTCCCCAGGTGTGTGTTTGGTGCCCCCAGGTGTGTGTTTGGTGCCCCCAGGTGTGTGTTTGGTGCCCAGGTGTGTGTTTGATGCCCCCAGGTGGGTCCCAGGTATCTCAGGTGTATCTCAGATGCCCCCAGGTGCCCCCAGGTGTGTGTTTGGTGCCCCCAGGTGTGCCCAGGTGCGTCCCAGGTATCTCAGGTGTATCTCAGGTGCCCCCAGGTGTGTGTTTGGTGCCCCCAGGTGTGCCCAGGTGCCCCCAGGTGTGTGTTTGGTGCCCCCAGGTGTGTGTTTGGTGCCCCCAAGTGTGTCCAGGTGTGCCCAGGTGTGTGTTTGGTGCCCCCAGGTGTGCCCAGGTGTGCCCAGGTGTGTGTTTGGTGCCCCCAGGTGTCTGTAGATGCCCCCAGGTGTGCCCAGGTGTGCCCAGATGTGCCCAGGTGTGCCCAGGTGTGTGTTTGGTGTGCCCAGGTGTGTGCTTGGTGTGCCCAGGTGTGCCCAGGTGTGTGTTTGGTGCCCCCAGGTGTGTGTAGATGCCCCCAGGTGTGCCCAGGTGTGCCCAGATGTGCCCAGGTGTGCCCAGGTGTGTGTTTGGTGCCCCCAGGTGTGTGTAGATGCCCCCAGGTGCCCTCAGGTGCCCCCAGGTGTGCCCAGGTGTGTGTAGATGCTCCCAGGTGTGTGTAGATGCCCCCAGGTGTGCCCAGGTGTGCCCAGGTGTGTGTTTGGTGCCCCCAGGTGTGTGTAGATGCCCCCAGGTGTGCCCAGGTGTGTTTGTCCCCCCCAGGCAGTCGAGGCGGCCCAGCTGGCCGAGGATCTCCGTGCCCAGGGCGAGCACGTGCAGGGCCGGCTGCGGGAGCTGCAGGTGTGCGCAGCTGAGAACAGAGCAGCCAAGGACAAGGAACAGCTCAGCCTCAAAAGAGCTCAGGTAACAAAATTTGGGGTAAATTTGGGTTAAATTTCTGGTTTTTGGGGATTTTGGGATTTTTTGGGGTGATTTGGGGGGGTTTTTGGGGGGGTTTGAGGGGGTTTGGGAGCTGCAGGTGTGCGCGGCTGAGAACAGAGCAGCCAAGGACAAGGAACAGCTCAGCCTTAAAAGAGCTCAGGTGAGGAAATTTGGGTTAAATTCATGGTTTTTTGGGATTTTGGCATGATTTGAGACAATTTTGGGATCATTTGGGACAATTTTGGGGGGTTTTGGGGGTGATTTTTGAGGATTTTGGAGAGGGATTTGGGGGTTTGAGGGGGTTTGGGGAGCTGCAGGTGTGCGCGGCTGAGAACAGAGCAGCCAAGGCCAAGGAGCAGCTCAGCCTTAAAAGGGCTCAGGTGAGGAAATTTTGGGGTAAATTTGGGGTAAATTTGGGATTTTTTGGGGTTTTGGGATGATTTGGGACAATTTTGGGATCATTTGGGGGTGTTTAGGGGCTGATTTGGGGGGGCTTGAGGGGGTTTGGGGGGGTTTTAAAGGGTCAGGGTGGTCAAGACCAAGGAGCAGCTCAGCCTCAAAAGAGCTCAGGTAAAGAAAATTTGGGTTAAATTCATGTTTTTTTGGGATTTTGGGATTTTTTGGGGTGATTTGAGGGGTTTTGGGGGGATTTGGGGGGGTTTGAGGGGGTTTGAGGGGGTTTGGGGAGCTGCAGGTGTGCGCAGCTGAGAACAGAGCAGCCAAGGACAAGGAGCAGCTCAGCCTCAAGAGGGCTCAGGTAAAGAGATTGTGGGGTAAATTTAGGATTTTTTGGGATTTTGGGATGATTTGGGACGATTTTGGGATCATTTGGGACAATTTTGGGGGGTTTTGGGGGTGATTTTTGAGGATTTCGGAGGGGTTTGGGGGAAGTTTGAAGAACTAAAAGGTCAAGGTCAAGGAGCAGCTCAGCCTTAAAAGAGCTCAGGTAACAAAATTTGGGTTAAATTCATGGTTTTTTGGGATTTTGGGGTGATTTTGGACAATTTTGGGGGGTTTTGGGGTGATTTTTGGGGTTTTTTGGGGGGTTTTAGGGAGGGGTTTGGGGGAAGTTTGAAGAACTAAAAGGAGCAGCTCAACCTTAAGAGGGCTCAGGTGAGGAAATTTGGGTTAAATTTGGTTAAATTTGGGACTTTTTGGGATTTTTTGGGGATTTGGGACAATTTTGAGGGGTTTTGGGGTGATTTTTGGGGTTTTTTGGGGGGTTTAAGGGAGGGGTTTGGGGGAAGTTTGAAGAACTAAAAGGTCAAGGCCAAGGAGCAGCTCAGCCTCAAGAGGGCTCAGGTGAGGATATTTGAGGTAAATTTGGGGTAAATTTGGGATTTTTTGGGACTTTGGGGAGATTTGGGGCAATTTTGGGGTGATTTTGGGGGATTTTTGGGATTTTTGGGGGGTTTAAGGGAGGGGTTTGGGGAGGATCAAGAAGGGATTTGAGGATCAGGTGGTCAAGGCCAAGGAGCAGCTCAGCCTTAAAAGAGCTCAGGTAGAGAAAATTTGGGGTAAATTTGGGTTAAATTTGGGATTTTTTGGGATTTTGGGGGGTTTGGGGGATTTTGAGGGGTGATTTTGGGGGTTTAGGGGGGTTTTAGGGAGAGGGGTTTGGGGAAGTTTAAGAACTAAAAGGTCAAGGCCAAGGCAGCAGTCAGCCTCAAAGAGGCTCAGGTGAGAGAAATTGGGAAGTAGGTGAATAAATTTGGGATTTTTTTAGATGATTTGGATTTGGGGGTTTTGGGGGATTTTTGGGGTTTTGGGGTGGTTTTAGGAAGGTTTGGGGGAAGTTTAAGAACAAAAATAGTCAAGGCCGAGCAGCTCAGCCTCAAGAGGGCTCAGGTGAGGAAATTTGGGGTAAATTTGGGGTAAATTTGGGATTTTTTGGGATTTTGGGAGGATTTGGGGACTTGGGGGTAGATTTTGGGGTTTTTGGGGTGTTTTGAGGTGCTTAGGGGATTTGAGGGCTTGGGGGGCTTTAAAGGGTCAGGGCTGCCAAGGCCAAGGAGCAGCTCAAGCCTCAAGAAGGATCCCAGTGTGGGATTTGTGAAATTTGGGTTAAATTTAGGATTTTTTGGGATTTTTGGGGGGGTTGGGGGGTTTTGGGATGATTTGGGACAATTTTGGGATCATTTGGGGGTGTTTAGGGGGGTTTTAGGAAGGGGTTTGGGGAGAATCAAGAAGGGATTTGAGGATCAGGTGGCCAAGGCCAAGGAGCAGCTCAGCCTCAAGAGGACTCAGGTGAGGAAATTTGGGGTAAATTTGGGTTAAATTTGGGATTTTTTGGGATTTTGGGAGGATTTGGGACAATTTTGGGATCATTTGGGACAATTTTGGGGGGTTTTGGGGGTGATTTTTGAGGATTTTGGAGGGGTTTGGGGGGGTTTTAAAGGGTCGAGGTGGCCAAGGCCAAGGAGCAGCTCAGCCTCAAGAGGACCCAGGTGAGGAAATTTGGGGTAAATTCATGGTTTTTTGGGATTTTGGGGATTTTGGGGGAATTTGGGACAATTTTGGGATCATTTGGGGGGGATTTGAGGGGATTTAAGGGAGGGGTTTGGGGAGGATCAAGAAGGGATTTGGGGACCGGGGTGGTCAAGGCCAAGGAGCAGCTCAGCCTCAAGAGGGCCCAGGTGAGGAAATTTGGGGTAAATTTGGGATTTTTTGGGATTTTGGGATGATTTGGGACCATTTTGGGATCATTTGGGGGTTTTTAGGGGAGATTTGAGGGGTTTTTGGGGGTTTTAGGAAGGGGTTTGGGGAGGATCAAGAAGGGATTTGAGGATCAGGTGGCCAAGGCCAAGGAGCAGCTCAGCCTCAAAAGGGCTCAGGTGAGGAAATTTGGGTAAATTTGGGTTAAATTTGGGATTTTTTTGGGTTTTGGGATGATTTGGGACAATTTTGGGGGGTTTTGGGGTGATTTTTGGGGGTTTTAGGGGGGTTTTAGGAAGGGGTTTGGGGGAAGTTTGAAGAACTAAAAGGTCAAGGCCAAGGAGCAGCTCAGCCTCAAGAGGGCTCAGGTGAGGAAATTTGGGGTAAATTTGGGGTAAATTTGGGATTTTTTGGGATTTTGGGAAATTTTGGGACGATTTCAGGAGATTTGGGGGGTCTCCAGGGTCCCATGGGTGTCTCTAGGGATCTCTAGGGTCCCATGGGTGTCCATAGGGTCCCATGGGTGTCCATAGGGATCTATAGGGTCCCAGGGGTGTCCATAGGGTCCCATGGGTGTCCATAGGGTCCCATGGGTGTCCATAGGGATCTATAGGGTCCCATGGGTGTCTATAGGGTCCCATGGGTGTCCATAGGGTCCCATGGGTGTCCATAGGGATCTCTAGGGTCCCATGGGTGTCCATAGGGTCCCATGAGTGTCCATAGGGATCTCTAGGGTCCCATGGGTGTCCATAGGGTCCCATGGGTGTCCCTGGGGTCCTATGGGTGTCTCTAGAGATCTATAGGGTCCCATAGGTGTCCATAGGGTCCCATGGGTGTCTATAGGGTCCCATGGGTGTCCATAGGGATCTATAGGGTCCCATGGGTGTCCATAGGGTCCCATGGGTGTCCCTAGGATCTATAGAGGGTCCATAGGGATCTCTAGGGTCCCATGGGTGTCCAGAGGGATCTATAGGGTCCCATGGGTGTCCATAGGGATCTATAGGGTCCCATGGGTGTCCATAGGGTCCCATGGGTGTCCATAGGGATCTATAGGGTCCCATGGGTGTCCATAGTGTCCCATGGGTGTCCATAGGGATCTATAGGGTCCCATGGGTGTCCATAGGGTCCCATGGGTGTCCATAGGGATCTCTAGGGTCCCATGGGTGTCCATAGGGATCTATAGGGTCCCATGGGTGTCCATAGGGATCTATAGGGTCCCATGGGTGTCCATAGGGATCTCTAGGGTCCCATGGGTGTCCATAGGGTCCCATGGGTGTCCATAGGGATCTATAGGGTCCCATGGGTGTCCATAGGGATCTCTAGGGTCCCATGGGTGTCTGTAGGGATCTCTAGGGTCCCATGGGTGTCCATAGGGTCCCATGGGTGTCCATAGGGTCCCATGGGTGTCCATAGGGATCTCTAGGGTCCCATGGGTGTCTCTAGGGTCCCATGGGTGTCCATAGGGATCTATAGGGTCCCATGGGTGTCCATTGGGTCCCATGGGTGTCCATAGGGATCTATAGGGTCCCATGGGTGTCCATAGGGTCCCATGGGTGTCCATAGGGTCCCATGGGTGTCCCTAGGGATCTATAGGGTCCCATGGGTGTCCCTGGGGTCCCATGGGTGTCCATAGGGTCCCATGGGTGTCCATGGGGATCTCTAGGGTCCCATGGGTGTCTCTAGGGTCCCATGGGTGTCCATAGGGATCTATAGGGTCCCATGGGTGTCCATAGGGTCCCATGGGTGTGTCCATTGGGTCCCATGGGTGTCCATAGGGATCTATAGGGTCCCATGGGTGTCCATAGGGATCTCTAGGGTCCCATGGGTGTCCATAGGGATCTCTAGGGTCCCATGGGTGTCCATGGGGATCTCTAGGGTCCCATGGGTGTCCATGGGGATCTCTAGGGTCCCATGGGTGTCCCTAGGGGTCTCTAGGGTCCCATGGGTGTCCCTAGGGGTCTCTAGGGTCCGATAGGTGTCCATAGGGTCCCATGGGTGTCCATAGCGTCCCATGGGTGTCTCTAGGGATCTCTAGGGTCCCATGGGTGTCCATAGGGTCCCATGGGTGTCCCTGGGGTCCCATGGGTGTCCCTGGGGTCCTATGGGTGTCTCTAGAGATCTATAGGGTCCCATAGGTGTCCATAGGGTCCCATGGGTGTCTATAGGGTCCCATGGGTGTCCATAGGGATCTATAGGGTCCCATGGGTGTCCATAGGGTCCCATGGGTGTCCATAGGGTCCCATGGGTGTCCATAGGGATCTATAGGGTCCCATGGGTGTCCATAGGGTCCCATGGGTGTCCATAGGGTCCCATGGGTGTCCCTGAGGTCCCATGGGTGTCCCTGGGGTCCCATGGGTGTCCCTGGGGTCCCATGGGTGTCCCTGAGGTCCCCTGGGTGTCCCTGAGGTCCCCTGGGTGTCCCTGAGGTCCCCTGGGTGTCCCTGGGGTCCCATGGGTGTCCCTGTCCCCTCCCCCCCAGGAGGAGCTGTCGAGGCTGCGCCGGAAGCTGGAGAAGCAGCGCAAGGTTGAAGTTTACGCCGACGCCGATCAGATCCTGCAGGAGGAGATCAAGGAGTACCGGGTGGGCTTGGGGGAGGGGAGGGGGAGGGGCTTCCAACCCAACCAGGGGGACCTTGGGGTGGGGGGGGAGACCTGAGGTGGGTTTGAAGGGCTTGGGTGGGTGGGAAGGCTTTTAGTTGAGCTTGGTTGGGTTCTATGACCTTGACTGATCTCAGTTGAGTTTGGTTGACCTCAATTGACCTTGGTTGACCTCAGTTGACCTTGACTGAGTTCTAAGACCTTGGTTGAGTTCAGTTGACCTCAATTGACTTTGGTTGATGTCAGTTGATCTCAGTTGACTTTGGTTGACCTCAGTTGACCTTGGCTGAGTTGTTAGACCTTGGATTGCTCTCAGTTGACCTTGGTTGACCTCAGTTGACCTCAGTTGACTTTGCTTGACCTCAGTTGAGTTTGGTTGACCTCAGTTGACCTTGGTTGACTTCGTAGATCTTGGGTTGATCTTAGTTGACCTTGGTTGAGTTCTTAGACCTTGGTTGACCTCAGTTGATCTCAGTTGACCTTGGCTGAGTTCTAAGACCTTGGATTGACCTCAGTTGACCTTGACTGAGTTCTTAGACCTTGGATTCACCTCAGTTGATCTCAGTTGACCTTGGTTGACCTCAGTTAAGTTTGATTGACCTCAATTGAGCTCAGTTGACTTTGGTTGACCTCAGTTGAGTTTGATTGACCTTGATTGACTTCAGTTGACTTTGGTTGACCTTGGTTGACCTCAGTTGACTTCAGTTGACTTTGGCTGAGTTCTTAGATCGTGGTTGACCTCAGTTGACCTTGGTTGAGCGCAGTTGACCTTGGTTGGCCTCAATTGATCTCAGTTGATCTCAGTTGACTTTGGTTGACCTCAGTTGACTTTGGCTGAGTTTTTAGACCT